GTCGGCGGCTTCCAAAATACCGACGGTAGGATCCCGATAGCCAAAATCCCGACAAATGAGCATCTTGAAGGCGAAAATTCCGATGTCCTTGATGCTGGTTAAATGCCCCTTCGTTTTACACAGCTATTTTGCATGTCCGGAGGTCTGCTTGTCGGGATTTTGGCTGTCGGGCTGCTGGCCGTCGGTATTTTTGCCTTTCCGGGCTTTGGCTGTAGGAATTTTCATCCGGATTTGAAATCTATCTCTATCCGGATTTTGCTGTTTTTCTGCGGAGTACGTTGCCGTACATAGGAAAGTCTCTTAATTCTAGCTTTTACCACCCGTAGGAAGGTTCCGAGCACCATTTCAGGTTCCGCATTGCGTTCAATGGTCCTTGAGGTTGATTGCAGAGCCTTGTCGCGCTACCGTAATCCCATGATGCGATCGCTCGTTTTACTAACTGCCAGGACAGCTTTAAACTTGCTTTCTGCAGCTAGAGATCGTCTTCGTCACTCTCAGTCACTCACCCGCCCTCCCTCCTTCTCTGTCCCTCACTCGTTTTCTCTCTCACTCTCTGTCACTTTCTCTCACTCTTTCTCTCTCTCTCTCTCTCTCTCTCTCTCTCCCAAGCCGGAACCAAATCTCGACCTTTTTCCCGTTCGCTATCTGACGTTGATCGTGTGGACCCTATACTTCCTGTCTTTCCCCAAGCGCCATTCCGCCAAAACCGGAAACGGGTGGCACACCGGTTCCGGCTTATCCCGACCGTTGCTGGAAAATTTCCGCCTCAAAAATCCGTCAAAAACAAGGAGGCCAAAATGACGATTTCAAAAGGTTCCATTTCGAAAATCCAGGCGGGAGAGAGAGCGAGAGAGAGAGCGAGAGAGAGAGAGAGAGAGAGAGGGGAGAGGGAGAAAGAGAGGGAGAAAGAGAGAGACAGCCTGCCGGACCGGATGCGCTACCGGAAATTCGCATACCGACCGGTATATAAGGGATTGGCGGTCCGTGACGGGACCATATTGCTATCTCTTAAATCCCTTCTCCGCTACCGTAACCCCCGCGGCACTACGGTAGCCTACCGTAACCCGCCGGGCTACGGTGGCTCGCCCGCCTTAGGGGAATCACGTCCCTCGGCCAGGGTGGGTTGACTTTTTAAAAGCGCGCGGGCTACCGTAGTCCATGTTTTGGATTTTCTTTTTTCTTGTTTTTGAAGTGTTTAAAGGGACCCGGCAGCCATGAACTTAATGGATACCGTAGATTTCCGGCTTCTAGCTAAAAAAATACCAACAGACGAAACGTCGACCAGCCTGAACGTCGACAAGTCAAAATACCGACCGCTAAAAAAGCCGAAAGGCAAATTACTTATGTAACGAATATTTCGTTTGCAACTGCTGGCGTGTCGGCATTGGCTTGGGCATTCTGAGATCGAAATTTTGGCTGTCGGCATTTTGGGTCGTCGTCGTCACAACTATCAAAATGGGGATGTCGGCATTTTGACGTTGCAGTTTTTTGGATGTCGGCATATTTGGGGTTTCGGGCTTTTGGCTGTCGAAATTTTGATTTTGCTGCGTCTTGGCTGTCGGAATTTTGGTTTTCGGATTTTTTGGGTTGTAGTTTTGGGTTTTCGGACTTATTAGCTCGCCGATAATTTGGATTTCGTCTTTCGGCTGTCGGTATTTCCACTTTTACGGTTTTTTAATGTCGGTATTTTAACACTTCGCCCTTCGGTTGTCGATATTTTAACTTTTACGGCCTTGACTGTCGATATTTTTGCCTGTCGGCGTTATATCTTATCTACGAGTTAAGGAGCGATTTTCGACAAAATCAGGAAAATCACTGACTTCTCGGTCCCTTTAAAATCTCAAAAAAAATCGTCATAAATTAGATTTTCCAGGGTCAAGAAATCTCCTAAACCTTTTGGAAAGGCTTCCTTCCCCATGGGCTCCCAAACGCGAACAGATTAGGAAAATTCCTGTTTTGAAAAACAAGACCCCGATCTCTCACGGGCCGGGTCACAGAATCGGCTCGATCCAATTTTAATTCTGTCTCCATTTTCCGCTACCTTTCCTGATTCCGGATTCAAAGAATTCTGCCGGAAGAAGCTCTTGCCCGGGTCATTAACTTTAAAGCCTCGGCCATGGCGTGGCTGCACAGATTTTTTGCCCTTTTTGGGCCCATTGTTCGATTCCGGAAATCTTTTGGCATCTTGTGAGGCTTCAAAATGAGCCCTTGGAAACTGTTTTGCAGCGGACCGGATCTCTGTCTGTTTGTCTGTCCCTCTCTCTCTCTGTCGCTCTCTGTCTCTCTCGCGCTCTCTCTCTCTCTCTCTCTCTCTTTCTGTCTCAGTATCTTGCTCTCTTTCTCTCGCCACCTAGTTGACGCCAGATTTTTGGTGTTTCTATGATCGGGCTTCTCTCCTCCGCCTCCCAGCTTCCGGGCTTTTTGAAAACAATTTTTTGGTGTTAATAGATCATAAAGAACTAATGGTTTTTGGGTATAAATGGGCGAGATTTTAATGGAGTTTGCCTAGGTGTAGATCGCTCTCTCACCCACCCACTCGCTCTCACTCTCTCTCTCTCACTGTCTCTCGCTCTCTCTCTGTTTTCTCTTTTTTTTTGATGTACAAAATATACGATAATTTCTGTGTTTTTACAGATAATAATGATCTCAGCGGTGGTTATGGTCGCTTTTGCTGCCGTCGTAGTTTCTGCGGACCCTCAGTCCGAGGCCTTCTGCCGACAGTTCCCCTCGTTGGCCCTATGCAAATTGCCCGCTATTCTTCAGGTAAGGACAGGGAGAGTTAGAGAGAGAGAGAGAGAGAGAGAGGGAGAGACAGAGAGAGAGAGAGTTAGAGATAGATAGAGAGAAAGACAGCGAGAGAGATTAATTTATTGTCACTTTTCCAGGGCTCCTACGACGAGTTGCAGTACCTGCTAGCCGGCGCTGATCAACTCCCCCAGATGTCGCAAGGACCCCAGAATGGTCAGTTTTTACGTTGGGGTTTTGACAAGCTAGAAAACGGACGAGAGAGGGAGCGAGAGAGAGAGAGAGAGAGAGAGAGAGAGAGTGAGTGAGTGTGAGTGTGATAGAGAGCATTCTTGCAAGTTCTGCAACATCCAGAATCAGAAATAAATCCGAGCACTTCTCTTTTTTGCCCATTTTTGCCCTTAAAAATTGATCCCTTCCTCTATCCCTTTCCTAAATTTATTCGAAGCGACCACGCGATCCCCGAGTTTTCATAGCCCAGGAAAAGCGCCGGGAAAGCCGCCGAAATTCGAAATGCAAGCGCTCGGTTTCTTCTGGCGGGGGCCGATTTTGGGAAACCCCCGGGACCGAGGGGTCTGTCGGGATTTTTGACGGGATTTCGGCATTTTCACGGGTGTGAATAGGAATGGCATGGAATGAAAAGATCAAAATAACGATACGACAGACGAAAAAGTAGAGCGATAGAGAGAGAGAGCGGGAGAGAGTGAGAGAGTGTGAGAGAGCGAGAGGGCACAACGATATCACTTGCATATTTCCAGAGCTCCTCGCCAACACCCTGCAAAAGCGGAAGTCCGCCTTCGTCCGATTCGGCAAGCGATCCGTTGAGGAGACGGTAAGGCGTTCAACTTCCTAAACGATCCCTGCTTGCTTGCCCGAGGGTTGCCATTTTCCTAGCGGTTCTCTGCTAGCTTGCCTTGAACTTGGCTAGGTCAGCTAACGCTTCCTACGTCCCAAATGACCACCGCTAGCTTGCCAGTTCCTGGGTGACAGTTCAGTCCATGGGCATAGGCTTAGGCTTAGCTTAGGTTTAGGCTCAGCTTAGGCTTGGCTTAGGCTTAGTTTAGGCTTGGCTTAGGTACAATACCTAACTTTCCAATTTCATTTCAGCAAGACATGCCAGAGAAGCGCAAATCCGCTTTCGTCCGTTTCGGCCGCTCCGACCCCGAGCTCCTTTCCGCCGACATGGAGAAACGGAAGAGCAACTACGTCCGATTTGGCTAAACCGTGACCCAGCTACCGTAACCCCCGATCTCGATCCCCGGTTTTGATCTCTATCTCGAACTTGTGCGTTATTACCCCCCGGTCATCGCCGCCACCGCAGTCGCCGCCTACCGTACCCCCGCCCCGAATCGTTGTTATTTTGCATCTACCTACCGTACCCTTGGCCCCGCCCCATTTTCATTCACCCCCATCATGTCTATCCGGTCGGAATAAAGTGTGTGTTAGTAATTGTTTGGGAAAGGAGACACGGAAAGAGAGAGAGAGAGAGAGAGAGAGAGAGATAGAGAGAGAAAGACATAGAGAGATGGAAATGGAGAGAGAAAGAGTTACAGAGAGAGCGAGAATGAACAACGTGAGACAGAAAGAAACAGAGGAGAGAGAGACAGTGAGAGAGAGAGCGAGAAAGAGAGAAAGAGAGAGAGCGTGAGAGAGTGAGAGCGTGAGAGAGTGAGAGAGAGAGAGAGTTAAGTGAGAGAGACCAAACACAGACATTTTTTTGTATCACGTCAAGCGGGTTAGGTCGGAAATTTTTTGGTCTGTGGTATTTCGATATTTTTAACCGGTTTTTCGTAAGCAAAAATTGACAAACGCGCAAAAATACCCACCGGCAGACCGGAAACGGCCTAAGTGGGCCGGATTAAGGCCGATCATGCGATACACGGTTATTTTTGCCGAGCTGACGCGTTGGATGCAGAATTTTTCACCTAAAGATCCCCAGCCCCCCCCCCCCCCGATAATGCAAAAGTACCGTGGGCCGAGCCGAATTTGAATACCTTTCATTTTATGGCATGCATTTTAGCCCGGCTATGACCAATAATTTATATATGCAAAAACACGGCGAAAGATTCACCCAGTAAAGCTCAAAAAACCTTAAAATTTTTGAAAAATTGTTTGACGAAACAACACTAAAACCGTTAAAAATGACAAATACCAGTATCTCGATGCGGTCATATCACAAAATGCGCCAATGAAAATAAAAAATTAATTTTAGAATGTTAAAAATGCCGGACTACTGTAGAAAAATTTCAAATTCAACCCTGGCTGGGCGTCTGGTGTACGGTGGGGTGAGAGGCGACCGGGCGGGGCTGCGACAAGGACAGTGGCCGTTGCTAAAAATGGTACAATATACTTTTCTTCAAAAAGGAGTACTGTATCTAGGTCAAGTTTTAAAAACAACAGCAGGAAGCCTTAAAAAAGAAAGTTAAGAATACAATTGAAAAAATGCAAAAAAAAATGGATTTTTCTGTCTTTCACCTTGATTAAAACGATGTTAGAAAAATTCCCATAAACTACTAATGTCAAGTACAATATTACCGTAGCCTGCCTACCGTAATTGATCTCTCAAAAGACTTGAACCTACCGTATCCCCGCCTCGGGACGCCAAGACGAGGTCCAGCAGGATAGCAAGGAAGGTGGCCATTATGAGAAGACTGAAAGTAGTTATCAACCTTTTCAAACATTTATCTTTGTTTTGTTGGCGCCTACTGTAGTCTGCCTCAACGTAATTTTTCGTAAAAGACCGTACGTCTATAGACGGGAATACAATCACATACATTGGAGAGTGTACTGTTGCTCATTGATGATGCTCTAACGTGCTGTACTACGTACGGTAATGTATTTGTAATAGCCAGGTTATGTCCGGTAACACCTACCACAACGCCGTGATCACAAGACTGCGTTGCGCATCGCCCATCGGGTGGAGGAGGATAATGGCCGCTGAGGCGATCACGGTAACCGGGATGTTTGTTAGGGAGCCACGACCGAGAGAAGGAGTCAATTCGGCCTGGAAAAAGTGGAGTGCAAGAGAGAAAGAGAGAGAGGGAGAGAGCGAGAGAGAGAGAGAGAGAGAGAGAGAGAGAGAGAGAGGGAGCGAGTGAGAGGGAGCAAGAACGTCAAGACCGACGGGGAAAGCGGAACCAGCAAGAGATAGAGAGAGCGAGTTGGAGATCGTGAGAGACAGAGAGAGAGAGAGAGAGCGAGAGACAGAAAAAAGAGAGAAATAGATAGCGTGGGCGAGAGAGAATGAAGTTGGATAGAGAGCCAGTGAGACGGCTAGAGGGAACGACAGCGAGGGGCATTGACATAGAGAGAGAGAGAAAGAGAGCGAGAGAGAGATGGAGAGGAGAGAGAGAGAGAGCAAGAGAGAGAGAGAGAGAGAGAGAGAGAGAGAGAGAGAGAGCGGCTGTGAGAGTTAACTGACCTTTAACTTTGCCAACGCCGGGCTCAACAGCCCCACCGTAGCCTCAAAAGCGCAGAACGTCAAGAGGAGCCACTGGAAGTTGGCCGTCTTCCAGTGCAACGACGACTCGGGCAGGTGTTTGTAGGTGAGGAATAGGGCTAAAAAGGTATAAGGTTTGCACAATCACACAGAGAAATTGTAATTTTTTTTAAAATCAAAGAAAACCAACCCAAAACGCTTCCCATTAGTGCTCCAGCCAGTGTCCTCGATGCTGGAATCCCCCTCGCCGGTGGCGAATGGAAAAACAGGGCTCCCACCAAGGCAAAAGCCATCAGGCACGCATAGGCGGCGCCAAAACTGTAAATATTGCCTTATAATTTGGAGGAGCTGGAAAATCCATAGCTCCTAGCCTACGCGGTCCGTTGAAAACCATAATTCGCAAGTACCGTGCCTCCCTTTTCTAACCAAAATATTCGGATGACTAGCCGAGAAACTTGGGGAATTTGAGCGGGTGAAATGGAAGAGCCAAAAAAATCCATAGTGTCCCCGCGTTCCCGGTTCCTTTAAAACCAAATTTCTTGATTACGGTACCCCAAATTTTCGCCCTCGATCGCCTTTGACTTGAGCAAAATTGGCGACCAGGCAAAGATGAAGATTTGCAGGGCCGACTCGCAGAAAACGGTGATCTAAATGCGATTTTCTAAATTGTGACCAAAGTACCGTACCACGGACAGTACGAGGGCCACCGGTTGGCGGAGGAGAATCGAGAGTTCCTTTCCAAAGGACAGAGTAGCCGGCGCGTCCACAGCAGCCGGCTTACCCCCATCCCAACGCGAGCCGATCAGGAATCCGGCTGGAAACTGGATTATAAAAGGATTACGGTGGTTTGAATATGGTGTAGGATAGGAAATTTTAAAAAAGGCGAAAATATCGTCAGCCAAAAATACCGACAACTAAAATCCTGATCGCTAAAATACCGACAGCAAAAACTCCGACCACCCAACTCTCGGCCCCGGGTCCGAAAAAATACCGACAACCACAACGTCGCACCCAAAATCCCCACTAGACAAAATACCGACATGCGGAATCCCGACAATCCCCTCAGCCAAAATACCTACAGCGAAAATTCCAACCGCTAAAATACCGACAGTCATAATCCGAAAAAAATACCGACAACGGAGGTCACTGACAGCCAAAATACCGACAGCCAACATACGACAACTAAAGTGGCGACGACGAAAATATCGACACGTAAAATAGCTGTAAAAACGAGCTGGCCTTTACATTAGCGTCACAGAAATGTCGGGATTTTATTTGACGGTATTTTGGCGGATTCGGGGGTCTATTTGTCAGGGTTATCGCTGAAATTCGGGGCAAAGCCAGCGTGCAGGTCGAAAAAAATGTTAAGAAATCTCGAAAAAGTAATGGAAAACAACTAACCTGCTACCATCAGAAGTGCCGAAAAGGCAAATGGCATCCCGATGACGCCAGTGGATCCCTCGACCATCTGTGCAATCCATCCGGCCAACACTGCCCCGAGTGCGGCCCCAGATGCCACTTTTGCGAACGTGGCCTCGATCCACTCGGGTGGGAAGTCCATACGGGTGATGTGACGCTCAGCGTACCTAGCGATAAATTTAGTTCCTGACACCGTCCCTTCAAATGCACAAAAAGCTTTGCTGCACTTCCCAGAAAAGAAAAAAACAAATGTTGCTTTCACCGTTCCTTTAAAATCGATTTTTTTTGCTACGCCAAAAACCTATAAATTCTTAACTTTCATAATGTCCCGTTAAAAAAGGCTGGAAGCCATTTTCCCCAAAGAATCCCTGCTAGATAGTCACAAAAACTTACCATTCCTGAAAAGCGGCCGTGACTAGAGCAGCGGAAATGCCGTCGAGGAGACGACTGACAAAGAGCAGGAGGAAGGAGCCTGAATTTAGATTTTTAGTGTTGATCGCTCTCTCTCTCTCTCTCTCTCTGTCTCACTCTTTCAATCTCTCTCGCTCTCTTTCCTTCTTTCTCTCTCTCGCTCTCTCTCTCTCCTTTTTCTCTCGCCTTACTCGAAAATTTCAGCAAACAGGCGACTCCGGCTGTAGATGTACAGAGCAGACACAAGCTTCTCGTCCCATACTTTCGTATCAAACGGTTAGAGAGTGAGGAGACGATCATGCAAGCAAAAAGTCCAGTCTAAAAATCTATTTTTTTTCCAGCTTCTCGTCCACAAAAATCTCTGCTAGCTTGCCAGCACAATTCTGACAATCTAAAACTCTTAGCGGTGCTCTGGTCATAGAAATAAATTCCCAAAGAACCCCTGCTAGCCTGCCATGAGAAATAACTCATTTTGAGGCCACGAACTACAAGCTACAGCGTGAATGACGGAAAACTACAAACTACAAAAGCTCACCGAGTGCAGGGCGGCAATTTGCGACGGGATAAACCGGTAGCTGTGGTAGAGGACGTAGAGGAATGGGGCCTAAAATTACGGTATTTTGATCAAAACACTGTCTTTTCAATGCTTTTTGATGTGTTAACTCACTTGTAAACTCTCCGCGAGCAACACAATTAAATATGGTGGGATAAAAAGCCGCTGCAACCCGCGGAATTCATGGTTATTTTGTGCGTTGTCTCTGAAAATTTTTCTTACTTTTTTAATTTTTCGACATTTTCCGAAATCTTACATAAAATATCCGAGCTCTCTGAAAGTTTTCCGTGAAAAGAAGGTTTCAAGGGATGTTTTAGGCTCACGACAGCATTAACGGCTATTTTCATTTTGTGGAAATATCGGGTTGTCGAAAAAGCATTTTTGTCGAAATTTCAATCGTCGAAATTCTAGACATACGATTTCTAGACGTCTATTTATGCGTTTATAACTTTTTAAACAGGTTTTGAGTTTCTAATTCTTAAAAAACTGACCTCCTCATCCGATCATGCTTGTTTTTCAGGTACAAATAACCAATAGCCAGGCCGGTGAGGCCGAAACTGAATATGTAGCAGACAGAATTCAGGGATAACCCCATTTTCTAGCAAAAATAAGAACCCTGTAAACAACAATAAAAGTCAACCAGCTGGGGAGGCCCTGGACTACAGACTACACACCCTTTTTGCTGGCCTCTTTGCCACGCCGTGGGGGGTACGGTGGATGGGGCGCGAAATTGGGGGTAAAACCGTTCAGGCTTTGCGAGGGGCATGTCAAAAGCTACCGTATACGCGATAAAAAAACACGCTTATATAAACCATTAAAAAGCGCATAAAACGGTGTGATGCTACCTCGAAGCCAAGCTACGCTGGGCTACGCTGGGCTACGCTGGGCTAAGCTGGGCTACGCTGGGCTACGTGACGCTTCGTGACGCTACGCTACGTTAGGTTTTGCTCCGGTATGTAGCGAAACTCTAGAAAGGTAGGAAACGCTAGGCTAGGATAGGCTAGGCTACGATACGTTACGCTATGGTGCTATCACAATTCGCGCATGCGTGGATTGCACATATTGGTCAAAATACGAAAAGGTCACTGCCGAGAGGACCCAGAAGACGCTTCCAAGCTTCGGCTTTCTTAGGCCGAACCTGGCCCGGCCGAAACCGCCGCCGGTTCAACGTTCTGCGGAGCTTCTCTTTGACGGATTCTGGGTAGGGACGAGGAGTAGTAATAGGATGAGGGGTGGTAGTAAGGGTAGCACGAAAGAAAGGAACATGTGCAGTAGCAACAGCATGAAAAACAGCAGGATGAGGAGGAGCAGGACGAGGAGGAGCAGCAGCAGGAAAGGGAGGAGCAGCATAAGCAACAGTAATAGTAGTAGGTGCAGTAGTAGTCATAGCGTTGACCTTGCGCCTTGGAACGTAGGAGTAGTACCACTAAACATCATCGTCAAGAGGGACACCGCTAGGCCCAATAGCCCTTTCAATACCTTGGTCGTGCCATCGTCGAAATTTTGCGGAAACGCGTAAATCAACGGCACCTCGTGAGTCGCAATTGAAAAATCGGCATTCGCAGCCACATGCTTCTTCCGTGCCATAAACTCCTCAAAGTCCATCTGCCAATAGAGGTGCTCCTCAGGATCAGGCAGAATTGGGCTAGAAGGTCCGTGAGGGGTTCCTGGATCATCAGAAACGTTTTTCAACGCTGCGAAAGGCTGAGTTGAAGCGCTCTAAACGGATCCGTATATCCATTTGGCAAGTTGAGAAACCAACGCGAGAGAAAAGCGAGAGTAAGAGAGAAACAGAGAGAGACAGAAAAAACGAGACATAGAAAGAGAGAGAGAGAGGGGGTGGGAGAGAGTGGGAGAGAGATAGAGAGCGTGGGTGAGCGAGAGTGAGCGAGAGAGCGAGAGAGACAAGGACAGTGAGAGAGAGTGTGAGACAAAGGGGAGATACCTACCTTATTGCGAGGACCGGTCCTTTTTACAAGTTTTCTGATGCGCCGTTTTACGACTTTCCCGCCGCCCTCCTTCTAGAAAAATCAGTGCATTTCCTTTTTAATTTTTGAACCTAAAACCAAGTGGTCTCATCTATGAATTTCGCCCCTATGCTCTACCCGGCCCCTTTAAAATCAAACAATTTTATTCAATGAAATTAATTAATTAGTTAGCCGACGAATTTAAATAATTATTGTCTAATTCAACACTCACATGTTTTGACCGTTTGACCAGCCATTCCACGATCAAATCGCACAGCAAGCAGCCCTGCACCAGAGGGCATAACTCTTCGTTTTTTGGGCCTTCAGGCGACTAAAAATTCGGTTGCTATTTTGGAATCAACATCCATCAAAATTTAAATCCTTGTTTTGGCGGTGCCTTTAAAGGGATAAAGTTGGCGCATTTTGTGGATGAAACCCGTTTTTGCATAGCGTAACCGGATGGGTTTTTGCCAACGGTGGAGGAGCGGAATCCGCAGGAACCCTCTTCATACCTTTTCGAGAGTTCTCATTAACGGCTAGAGAAATTGGCAAATACCGGGCTAGAAGACCTCCGGAAAAGCCAAAAAATGAATTTCAAATGGTCTGATCCGGAGGGAATCAACAAAAATTCCTAATTTGCAAAATTTCCCAGATTGTCTCTGGGAAGGGAACTGTATAAATTAACGATTAGAGACAAAAAGAACAGTGGGCGCCTGAGTAAGCGGGATAGGGAGAGAGAGTGAGAGAGAGCGAGAGAGAGCGAGAGAGACAGAGAAAGGGAAAGTGGGGGACCTATAAGCCGGGCCACACCCAAAAAAAAAAGAGAGAGAGAGAGTGAGAGAGAGATAGATAGGGAGAGAGAGACACAGAGAGAGAGAGAAAGCGTGAGACATTGTGGTAGCTGAGTTTCGATTCTCTAGGATAATCAATTTATGCACAAAACCGTATCGCATAGCATCAATATATAAACATTTATGTTAGAAGTCCAAAATACCATTCAGAACACTGAGGTTTTTGTAGATTACTGGAGAAAGGAGCAGATCAAATCCTTGCTGAGCAAATGGAAATGAGTCGGGAGAGTGAGAAACAAAAAGAAACAGAGAGAAAGTGGTGGGACCCGAGCTGGCAAAAATAATACAAATAACCCTACGCTGCAAAAATCCGTCCCAGAAAATAAAGCCGATCATCCCCTCTTCCTGATTTGTGTTTTTTTTGCAGCGTTGCTATGAATCAAAACAAAGGTAAAACCAAAAATAACAACTAATCAATCTCTAGAAAGTTTAAAATTTAGCAAGAAAAATAGAAAATTAATTCAGCGTCGAAGTCGACGGGATCTCCTTCAGGAAGTGGTCGAGTTCATGCTCACTTGCGGGAGTGGGATCGCTGAAAATAGGAGAATTATGTCTCCCTCTCTCCACGCTCCCCCCTCTCTCTCTCTATCGCTCTCTCTCTCTCTCTTTTTCTCTCCCACTTCTTCACTTACTTCCTCCCCGGCCACGTCAAATGCCTGGTATTCTTGAGCTCCTTCTCCTTCAGAATATACGTCAACGGGATGGCGATGGCGAGCATCAACACGAAGCCGACCAACGAGTAGCCGTACGTCGATATTCTAAAATTACGTTAGATCGCTAGAAAAAGAGAGCAAGAGCGAGAGAGAGAGGGTAAGAGGAGATAAAGAGAGAGAGAGGAGAGCGAGAGAGAGAAAGAGCGTTAAGACAGACCCACCTGCTGATCCACAGCGTATTCGGATCACCGTAATGCGCGTCAAAAGCCGGACTCTGCCGGATCGTGAACCCTCGCGGATCCGGAATCTGGCCGGTGCAGCCGGTGACACTAAAATTCACACTATATAAGCTAGCTTTTGCTGAAAAACCTGGTATTGGTGTGTAGGAACAGGTCCTTGTACGGGTCTTCCAAATAGTTTGACAAGCAGATGACGGCCATTGCTGAAAAATGCAGAATAAAATTAAGTCGGATTCGTAGCTCTTAAAGGGATTTTAAAAAAAAAATAAAAAAAAATTTTTTGTTCGGATAACACGGTTAATCTTTTGGCAGAGATTAACAAAACTTACCCAAATTCGACAGCACAAACGAAATTCCACATGACAACACCCCGGATGCCGGGAAGAAGATGGCCAACACGAAGATGGCCACCATCGGCCCCGACATGGCGCCCATCACCGAGATGCACACCTGGAAATGTGGAATAGCTTGAGATTAAATTTTTTTGACCGCGATTGCACAGAAATAACCAGTTCTTGCCTCCGGATTCGTTGGAAAAAGCGACATCGACCTACCCTCAAAATCCCGCCCAGCGGCTCGGCGGCAAAAGCAAGGATCGTGGAGAGCAGCCCGCAAAGCACGACGATCAGCTGAAAAAAAGAGACAGGTTATCTAGAGATGACAGACAGAGAGAAAGAGAGAGAGAGAGAGAGAGAGAGAGCGACGAGCTACCAAATTCGTACCTTGTTAATCTGCGTAGCCTGCGTATCTGTGATTTTCCCGTCCAACTTTTGCTTCAAAAAGTCCTCATAGATGGCGGCAGCCATCGAGTTCATACCCGACGACAACGTCGACAAGGTCGCCGACATTATACAGGAGACGTACAGGCCGAAAAGGCCGGGGGTTGGTTCTAAAATGATTTTTATAGATTCTGAGATGTCAAAAAACAACTTTTATATGAATGAATTGAAATAGTTTTATCGTAAATCGCAATTTTTAACTTTAATGAATTCAAGATCTGAATTTTGTATTTTTGGATTTGTCATTTTTGGGTTATGTTCATTTTTCCTAAAAATCATTTTTCCTAAATTCATTTTTCCTAAATTCATTTTTCCTAAAAATCATTTTTCCTAAATTCATTTTTCCTAAATTCATTTTTCCTAAAAATCATTTTTCCTAAAGTTCATTTTTCCTAAAACTTTTCATTCAATAGGGATGCGTAAAAATATCAAGAAATTCCAAATGTTATCATTTTTTAGCAGTATTTGTTTGGTTTGGTTATTAGTGGCTTTATCGAAATCTTTCTTATTATCATTGATCCTTTTCATTTCCAATCACCCAAATCTAGGCTAAACCGCAACTAAATACTTCCTATGATCACTCTAGGCAGATCTGACCTTATTCTAAAAAAATTTCTATTTTCTCATGCATAGTACTAAAGAACTAGGCCTTTACGGTATTTAACCGGTTTTAGGAAAATGAACTTTAGAAATGACTTTTAGGAAAATGATTTTTAGGAAATGATTTTTAGGAAAATGAATTTGAAATGAATTTAGGAAATGATTTTTACGAAAATGACTTTAGGAAAATGATTTAGGAAATGATTTTTAGGAAATGATTTAGGATGATTTAGGATGATTTTAGGAAATGACTGGAATTCGTATTTTTGTATCCTTCTTTTTCGTAGCTTGTTAAAATACTGTAACTCACGTAACACGTCTCGCGCAAAAAGGATGGTAATGTGATCAGTTTCGGCAATCTGCCCTGTCTCCAGCGGGTTGCACTCGTGGAAATAGGCCAGCACCAGCAG